ATTGTACATTGCAGCAATATTATATCTAAAGGAAAACAACACATATTTAATATCTAACATGATACTACAATTAGTATAAATATCCTATTTCTGAAACCAGTCAAACAAAGCACTATTTAAACCCTATTCTTCCCTTGAATAAACAGGTGTCCTGAGTCTACTTGGTGCAGCAATATTCCCACTAGGCTGGGATTCATTCCGAGTGAGATCTATGTGCGGTGATGATGCAGGATTTTATTACCCAAGCGCATGTACAGTAGGTATGTAGGCAACATTAGTCTTTATATTGTGATGGCTACCAGTTTGGTTATCAAATTGACATATATGTAACCTTTCTTTCTATACTCCCAGTCTGAAGAAAAATCATACATTTATAACTGACCTTAGTTTTAAAATGAAATGTGTAATCTACATTTTTCATGTAACTAATTTTACTTTCATTAATACAAAAAAGTAAGCATATATTTTTTTCTAGGATGGGCCATGTATGCAGTGCTGGGAGGAAGCTTAGGATTACTACTGTGTACCTGCCTTGCAACATTTTCTGCCAAATCAACAGCAACTGATAGAGTTTCTAATGAAATTGCAAAAGGAAATCAAGTTGTTTGTCTTATTTAAATAAAGCTGTGTGTTATTATGTGTAGTGTTTTTTCAGTGTTGACATACTTGTTACTTATTAATGCTTTAACATCTTTTAAGACAAAGATAGTTTCCCTTATCAACAGAATATCATTACTCATCAGAGCACTGATAAACAAATTTGGCATGTTATGGGAATCTCATTTAAACAACTTTTTATTGCATGTGTTATTACATGCGCATTAAGAAATACGCATCAACACTATTTTTTCACTTTCTAATCTTGGGATTTATGGAAGTGATGTGTTAATGAAACAGATCAAACTTATTTCCATACTATGCTATAGCTATGATGAATAACAGTAATTTGGTTGACAATTAAAGAATGATCTACAGAATTTTCTGTCAAAATGAAAACTTTCAGCATACATCAGTAACTTACTTGTATGCATATTTAGCCTGGACAATATTGTTGGCTTTCCATTTTCTCATGTTATAGGCTTTTCAATCAACTGGTTGCTATATTGTTACAAACAATTATACTATCAATTATGAAGATATAATGTATTCCCAGTACCAAAGTAGGGTCAAACAATATTTACTTCACTTTTGCATTCAGGTACCACACATGTGATTGATATGTATAATCATTCTTATTCAAGTACAAATGGTATAAATTATCAAAACACAGGATAACAAAAATGAACTGCAAATTATCCCAGCACAAACATACCCAGTGAAATAATTATCCATGACTTATGTATAGTTATTTACCATTAAAGTTATTTCTGTATATTAAATGATTTGCTTCCCTGTATATTGGGTGTTCATATTATCACCTTTTAATATTTCAATGAACTTTATCGTTTCAGAAGTTAAACTTAACATTATGTCTACTTAACTTTTGGCTTACTGGTACTTAATTATTTTCCAAGTAACACGGTATACTGAAGCACATCCTTCTTCTACAGATTAACTTTAATTTTGCAGTGTAGCATATTCTTTACCAGTATCTGGTTAAGTTTTATAACCTTACATTCCTCTTGCATTTTCTTATGCTGTACTTATGCTAATAAACTAAGTGTATTAATGAAATCTTTCTCTATACCTATATTATTAAAAAGACAATCTATATCTTTTTATATTTCTTGTGAGAATAATTACAGTACTTAATAATGGAAAGTGAATTTATTCAATTCAGTGGTTTCATGTAACAGAGGGATGTCTTTAAAGAGTCTGATATGTCCTTGAACCTCTACATTTCTCTTTTTTTTTCCTTATTTTCCGGCAATTTCTTCAAAAACTTTTAGTATTCAGTGGAACATATTCTTCTGAGCATGCATTATGAAATTATTCATTCTCTCTGATCACACAATGCAATTTCTTTGATTTTCATTATCTAATATAAGATATGACATATCAGGTATCAATGTATTTTTTTGCTATTACTACTAAAGCCATTCTACGTTAATAGTCACTGAACATCTGCACTTGATAATCTATATATACACATTTTTTTATGACTACTACTACTGCTACAGTTTTAACAAGTATCCTTTCAATTTATTCAAAATGATTTACTTGTCACTAGAGAACAGTCACTGAAATACCTAATGAACACCCCAGGAAATACACATAGGGGACTATATGATTTTACTTGACAGTCAACAAGAGGGTAAATGAGTGAGGCATACAAAGAATCAGCTTTATTGCTTTGGTTGCTGATTAATAAAAAGAAAAGTAAAAATAAAAGCAATTCATGATTGATGGACAAAATCTCACAAATACAACTATTTCACAAAAGAAGTGAAACAAACTTCCAATTTCCCATCAAAGCTGAAATCTGAGTTTAAATTACAACCATTGGCTTGATCTTAAAAACTTATGTACGATGAGGCCTCTCCCTACAACTAGTTTTGTGTCCATGCCAATCCTGAAGTGAAAAAACACGAGTTATCATCTATACAGAGCTCTGCAAACCTGAGAAATAGGCAAGTCACACACAGGAGGCACACCATACTCCTCGACCCTTGGATAATCTTCCTCTCTCATGGCCATATTATCTGTAATATTTCTAATGTCATGGGGAGGAAGAGCCAGGATCAGGTTGAGGGAGGGGTATATGAAGAAGACGAATATCAATACAAGTGTTATGATGACGCTAGGGAAGGCGAGTGCCCAGTAAGGCTGGGGGATGTACGTTAGTCCAAGTGCTGCCAGGTAGCTATGGGGAATGAGAGCCCAAGCCAGGTAGCTAATAATACCAGCCCAGCCCAGGAGGTACAAGACAAAGCCATAATAGGAGCGGCCTGGAGATGGTGCTGGAGTGTGCTCACCCATGTTCCTCCGTTTCTTCCTGATATGTGCTGGATATTCTCCTAAAGGGATGGACCAGGCTCAGGTCCTGATAATGTCCAAAATATATTTGTCTTTTTCTCTCCTTTTCTCAGGCTTTTTAGATAGTTATCTATATGCACTATCCAAATCTTGCTATGAATACCATTCAGACAAAATCCAGAATAGTTCTTTCACTCTTATTCAATCACTGAAATTACACAAACAATAAATTCATAAAAATTATCCTAACAAAAGATAACAGTTATTAAAAAATTAATGATCACAGCAGAAAAACTTCAAGTCTACTTTTCCACAAAATAATATGATGTAGAAGAAAAATCACACACACATTTTCTTTGACTGCTGTACTGGAGGTCCAAACTGGTCAATTGTTTTTGTCACTAAGTTCAGAAGATCCATAAATGAACACACAGCTGATCTGAGCTGCCGGACATCAACAGATCGAATTTCTCTGAAAAAAAAAAAAGGAAGTAAATAAGTTAAGTGCAAAGTTTTTTATGATTGAAAATCAAGAGTGAATCACTAAACCTACGATGGACTAGGAATATGGTAGTAATAAATCTTGGTTCTGGGTATATACACTGCCAACTATAATTTTGTTTTATAAATATGGTTACACATAGATGGCTCTACAAGCACTTGGCCACCAAGGAGTCAATAGTTGGTATACCTGACCTTACGTGATTACCCCAGTCCTTGAATTTCCTGGAAAAAGTATTTTTTTTCTAATATTATTACTATCATCAGTTATCATTTTTATTGACAAGGATTATCATAATGTTCTTAGCATTCTAAGTGTTAATAATTTCCTCCAAAAAAGATCTAGGAAAAAGGTAAACTTCTAAAATCATGTAGGCCTAATAACCGACTCCTTGGTGATTAAGGTTTTCTGGAGTTATCTCCTAAACAAAATAAATAAATAAAAATCAAGGCAGACTGGGCATTTGTGCATAAGTCTTCCTGGTGTCAATGGTTTAGTAACAACAATCAGTGAAAGGAAAGACAAATAAAAGGATTGGGCTGTCTCTTGAACAGAAAATACTAGTTTATTTATACAAAGAAAAAAGGACAGAAAGAGAGAGAAAAAAAAACAAGGGAATGTTTTTTTAATCCATTTATCTCATACAGCACTTGGCTTGATTTCTGAACTCTAAGCAAAAATTGTAGTGTCTTTTTTCTTGAAGGTTGGTTCCTGACTCTACTATGCTGCTTATAACCAGTCCCGAAGGCAATATATGTCAATCAGGATGTCAATTTATGGGAAAAATATGAAGAATAAGAACACAAGGGAGACAGTATGTGAGGAGGAAGATTCACAAAAACCATATGAAATGAGAGGAAAAAATATATATATATTTGAGACATTCACAACTTCTACTAAACCTTTATCAACTTACACACATAGAATATTATCCTTAAGGGCAAAGGTTTTCTTTGACCCTCCTCTTCTAGGCTCCGGGTCAACCTGCAAAGAATTCCTTGCTATTTCTGCTTCTCGACTACTGTTGAATGGTACTTCAAATTTTCTGTGTAGCAAGTTAAGGAACATTATAACATAGTCTTTAAAACTGAAGATCATTATGAGGTATAAATAAGAATAAAAAATACTGATACATACACAAAATGAAAGAAGAAAATACTGAATATTTATTAATCTGGAGAAAAGTAACTTCATGGAATAATGATTAATAAATCTTATAAGTAACTCTAATGTTTCTTTTTGAGGTTCAAATGCAATTATTAAAATGATTTTTGCAATAATTTATACAAATCTGGTAACTGCTTGTTGGGCTGAGAAGCACTATCTGATACATGACACCTTCCCATAACTCTGTATCAAGTTCTAATTAACTTGGACTACCTCATGGATAATCTAATACAATCCAACCTAACCGAACCTATATACATCCCTAACTGAAGAGTGGCTTTTCCATCCTTTGAATATTACAAATGCAAGGACTGCAATACGTACTTGTGGTAAGTAAAAAAAAAATACACAATGCTTCATCACATCAGTTTAAATATTTCCTTGGACAAGACAAGGGCATATGACTAGACTGCCAACATAAAATGCAGACCTGTAAGAATGAGTTACCATAGAAGTGGGAAATACAAAGACTAATGTCGTAGATGAACACGACTTAACATGCCAGCTCTCATGACACTTTATACAGAACTAACATAGTAGTAAAGATACTTCATGCATAATCTTGTAGCATATGGAATCATATTAAACATGTAGGTCCTGGAAATAATTCCCAACATGCAACCATATTTACCTATTGGGCCTATGAGATGCAATACAAAAGGTAGGACACTAGTACAATAAAGATAATTATCAGCACCAACCATGTGTAATGCTGATTCATAAAATACATCATTTTTACAAGCTTAAAATTGCAATATGCAGGTATCTGTATATCTATATATATCATTGCTATGCTGTAAGTCGTTGTTCAGCATTTTGGATGAAATGTGTTTACCATTTACAATGCTGATTTTGGAGGCTGGGATAAGCAATCATGCTTGTCCTTCTCATCCATTTTTGAAGCTGGATCAATAGAATGAGATGACGTCACATTATGATACTTTTTGGCAATCATAAGATAGTTAGCTGATAATTTTAGGGCACTTTTTGTTATCATTAGAGGTAATTTTTTGTTTGACAGCTGCTTATAAGTTACATATGCATCAGAGTAATAGCAAGATGTGTTTATCGTAAAAGCAGCAGTATAATAAAACAGTTCATGAAAACTGTGGAGATCATTGCAATCTGGATAATAAAATCTTTGGAGTCTTCCAAACGTGGCCTCATCCTCTCGGTGATCTGTACAAGCTACCTGACCAAGAAGAAACATTACAAACATGACATAAATAGTCAGCTCTGAGTCAAGGATAGTTCATTTTAGCCTTCAGCATAACACAGGCATCGGGGGATATTAGCAGCCAAAATAACACTTGGAGCCATACATTTACGAAACATGACTGTAAGGACAGTCAACTGCATTTAACTATAACGAGCAAGAAAAATGAACTCCTTATTGGCAGCCTATCATATTCTATTACAACTGACAGTCATTTGGTTGTAGACAATTGATTCTTTACCTATGTCACAACTGATTCTTTTCTTAGGTAACTTAAAGGATTCAAAATAAGAAAACCACAATTCATTTGACTCCCATGACAAAGACAGTCACTTGAATTGTAAGGCAATTCTACAAAACAGTTCAGCCTAATCAATCATGAAAATTTTGGTATCAATGGATTCCTCTCATTCTCTGCTATCCAAGTAAATTGAAATCATTGTGTGGAAACCCTAAACCCCTACATTCTTGGCCCCGATAGCAGGGGAGGGCATGAAAGGTACCAGGACAATAACGGGCCAAAACATAAATATAAACAAAACGTTACCTTTCTGTTTTATGCATGGGGTTGTGCCTCCTGCAACACCTCCATGGGGGCCTACCACCCCCGGCTCTTGCCCAGGACAACAAAGAATCTTCCACATATTCACGGTAGGAGACAGCTTTGGACAGATTCACCATCAGGTGCTCCTGCATGGCTGTTGAACACTCTCTCCTGCTGTGAGTACACAGAGGATTCTTTGTATTTCGTTACGGGGTGTTGGTGTGTCACACAGCCCACTGCATTAGACAATATAGTGACTGATTTTGTGTATATTATACATATTTTACCACACAATTTCTCTGGTAACTTTCATGCCCTCCCCTGCAATCATGGCCAAGACTATCAGTAATGGGGAGGTTTCCACCAGACTTTAAAGTATTTTTCTTGCGCAGGGAATATTTTGTTTCTCATGCATGAAAAACATAATTTTGTCTACATTTGTGCAGACGTATCTGGGGACGGATGATGAAACAAGTGTGTGGAAAAGTCAAAAGAATTTTAAGCGTGGAAGATGATTTTAAAAAGATCTAAGTGTATGCGGAAAGTTACCCAAGAACTACATCTGCGGGGATAGCATTTGACCAAACTCTATAGTCTGGGGTTTCCACACAATAATCTTTGTATATTTGAGTGTTAGAGAGCAAGAGGAATCCATCGAAACCAAAATTGTTGTGATCCATTAAGCAGAACTATTCAATAAAATTGCCAATTGTATTTATCAATTGTACTTTAGGAGCTGATAATCATATCAAACTGATAGAATGCACAAAATGTTACTGTGTCAGTGGCTCGGGTAAGAAATATGTCATGGGCAGGTCTAAATCTCTTGCCCGTGGGAACCTAAACGGGTTAAACCACCTTGGAAGTCGGAATGAGTTGACCGTATTTTTCTAGACCTTGCTGCGAGTATCACCTTCTATCAGTGGATAAAACACCATATAGCATATCCTCCAGTGCCACTAGTAGTTCCGAGCTGCGATGTGGATCTTATGCAGAGGAATACACCATAACTGCACTATAATAGAGCTGCGGTTAATGTCGAGTTTGAAAAGGATACGCTACTGCAGGCAATTCTTTACTTGCTGACACTTCATTATCTTCGTCCGAGTCCATATAATCATCCTGCACACCGTTGTCTTCTACGTTTTCATCCATGGCATTTAGTATTACAGTTGCTATTATAATATAAAACTGCAGTTAGTACATAAACTACTCTTGCTCCAATACCATGCAAGAACGTGCGGCTTGCGTAGTGTGTTTAGGAAGGTTCGTTTGTTTACATGAAAAACGAGCCTAAAATTTATTTTTCAACTTTATCAGTTTTTCAGAGAAAAAATAAATGGATGTTCGCAGAGTATACTTTTTTTTTATTAGATTTGTTACCTAAAATATTTATTAGCTAGAAATTTCTATGAACATTGCTCACGTTCATCTAGGGATCATTATATTTTCAAATTTGATCGTTTCCGTGATAACTAATTGAACTTTAGTTTTCCTCACATATGAATTATATTTTGTAACCTATATACAAGGTATCATAAGTATTCATAAAAAATATTTTTTTGCCAAACAATCGACAAGCTAAACAGAATTATAATTTCTCCGTGAGTTACCATCAATAAATAAAAAAATATTTTGATAAAATTATGAAGTACTCTATGAAGGACATATGTTCAAAATCGAAACAGAAAATCCTCAAGAGATGCTGAGCAAACGTGGATAATTTGCTAGTAGACGTTGCAGATGTTTTCAACAATGACGTCAAAGACCAAAGTGACCAATCACACTACAGATATACCCTGGTGATGACGTCATAATCAGTGCTATCCAATCCGATCATACAAGTTTTTCAGAGTGACGTCAAGCTCGCAGCCGACCAATCCTTTCTCAGTTTTCAATAACTCTCGACCGAGGGAGAAGGTCTGGATGAGAGTCTGTGCTATCGCTCTCAGTTAACACACCTCGACTGCCCTTGCGTCCACTCAAGATGGGTATTTTGATCGCCAAGTTGTGGAGCCTCTTCGGCAATGAAGGTAAGGACTGGAGAAGCTCTGTGCTCTTGGCAGACGCTGAAACGAAAGCCAAGGGAGAGCTTTAAAAATTTCACACCCTTGGAGTAGGCCTAAAGACATCTGTTCTGTTGTTTTGATTATGGAAATGGATATTGACGGGGAGGGTGTAGGCCTCTATTTTTTCGATAGATGTGCCTAGCCAAGAGGGAATCGCGGGTTAGATAATTTGCGTGAAGGTTAGATGACGAAACCGTGTCTGCCACAAGTCGAGTCTCTTTTGACAGCTTATCAGTGAAGAAAATGCATTTAATTACTCAGAGATATTAAACTCGTGTTATATCCCTTGATACTGCAGTTTAGCTGAATTAATGATTTGATGCTGATTAGGTCTTCTAGCGTGCTTGAAGAGTATATTTTGTTTTTGTCATTGTTTTTTTTCTATATTTTTTTTCTGAGGGAAATTCTGGTTCAGTAAAGTTGATGAAAATGATAATTTGAACATAAATTCTAGTTTCCTAAATTGTATACACAGCTAATTGGAAATCTTCACTACCTTGATCTATTTCTCCGTATTTAAAAAAAGGAAAACACAGACAAAACACAAAGCAAATTTTTAATTACTTGGGTAGTCATGTATGTCAAGGTTGGGCACTGAAATTGAGGCCAAAATCTTTGTTCTTTTGGACCATTTCCTCTTGTTGTCACCTCTGTTGAAATGTACGAGTCATACCCCTTCTTTTATGCCAGTCTTTGTGTCGTTATTAACAGATATACTTCTTTCATTGAGTATTTATTTAAAGGGGTAGCAGATTCGTTATTACAGATTTTGCCTATTAATTTTGGGATGAGCACATCATGTGGAGCGCTGTTAAGTGTTAATATCCGAAAAGTCTGCTCCAAATTACATCCAGCAACATTAGAAATGAGTGACTTAACCAAACTGTCAAGACTAGGCTAATGCTAAAAAGGAGTTCTTATTTGAGGCAAGGTCAAGTGGAGACAAGTCAGATTTGCCAAGGTACAATAGTGCCACTTTACTCTTAGGTAGCAGCTGAAAGGTAAACAGGTTTTCGGAATCAGTAGATGAATTAACTTGTCTATGATTTAGTTGTTGCAGATTGAAAATGAAGGCGTTATGGAATAAGTAAGCTTAGTAGATTGTGAAGTTATTACTGTGGTTTATGTGCCTATGGCTTTTTGGCAGAGGCCAACAGACCCCCTCAAAGTATATTCTCGCAGGATGGAGCTTTGACTGATTCCTTCTTTGATAATGATTGGCAAAGGAAGCCGACAAATTGTTCATGTAATAATTATGATTAGGTGGTGAAAGGTTGCTCCTAACTTGTTTTTTTTAAATTATCAAGAGTAGGATTGCATCAAGCATCTTTATGGTTTTACACTTTGTGTTCTTTAAAAAAACTTACAACCCTCCAGCATATATGAACTGCCTATTCATTTGATGATAAAGCACTAGTGATCTGTTGCTCGGTTTTGTCAGAATTCATGGTTGAACAGCATAGAGGCTGCAATTGCAGGAAACATTCAGAATATCAATATTGTTTGCACTAGTATTCTTTATTTCTCTGCATTTTCAGGAAGTTGTGTCCTGGATAGTTATGATGTTTTTGTTTATTCTAATAATTAAATTACTTGTTTTCATTTTACAACAATATCAGAAAAAAACACTAAAAATGTTGATTCCTTATCCTGTTAACCTTGTACCCTGTGCATGTCTGAAACCTATTTTTGCAGTAGAAGAAACTTGAGTCCATCTTGATCTGGGTTGTCTAATTTTATTGTGATAATTTAGAAGCTAAATTATGAAATTATCAATTGCAAGTTAACTCTGGATGCGTAATTTGTCTCCAAACTCAATTTTAACATCATGCATTAGCAAATTGAAGATTCTGCTTGATAATAATTAATTCACTAAAATTATTGATCAACAGATGCTTTATAAGTTCTTAATACATAGAAGACAATACTGTTGTATACACCATCAGCATATAGATGTTTACAAATACAAATAGGAACACATTAGGTGAGTAAAAGCAATGGCTGTAGAAATATCATTTTCGTGGGATTCTGCTTTTGTTTTTTAAATCTGTGGGTAACTAGCAGTAGTTTACAAGATATTTTACTGTGCCTTTCAAGGCAGGATTTTTTCCTTGCTCATTGTAAAGCATGTATTTTCTTCGAATCCATGTAATTTAAACCTTGGTGTGATCTTAGATACCTATACACCTATGGGGCTGAGGCAATGCAAACAAATATCCACTATGTTTGTTATGGCAAGATACAGCTTGTAGACCTCCCAGGTCATTGCCAAATAAGTAACTAGTTTAATCTCATATCATGCCAGAATGTATTTAGCAAAGGTTTGTTAGAACCTTGACAGGCTTGGAGGCTGTGGCAGTTTGTGGAGGTGTGTTATTTACATTCACTGAAGATAAAAAATCATAATATTTAGGAAACTTTGTGGATCCTGTTTTTTTTGTAAATCCTTGGAGACTTAAATAATTATCTTGCATGACAAAGATCACAGAAAATAGTCTTTTACTACCTCTGCACCTATTAACACACAGACTGGTCAACAAACCACCTTCATGTATATTCTGTCCTATGTCTATCATAACAGAATGTATGTCGTGGAGGGTTTGTGGCATTTATCAAGGCACAAAGTGTTTAGTCTACAGCACTGCTTGATGTGGTCCTATGCTTAAGATTTCTCAATCATTTCTAAAATATGAGAACATTTATTTCATTTTTTCATCTCTATCAGAATTATGTATTTCTGATATAGATTTAATGATAGAAATGCTTTTTGGAATCATACATTTTTATTCATAACTTTTCTACATTAGTCCCAACAATCTTTTTAATTCAAGAGATATGTGACTATTTTGAAAACAAGCAAAAACAAGTTGTCAGTTTTTGTTATATTTCATTCCAATGAACTGATCTAGCCTGTTTGGGTTTGCAGTATGTATCCTTTGGAAGATTATTATCATGTGCTGAAAATTGTCTTTTTATACTAATGCTGACCAGCTAAGGGTTATGTAAAACATGCAAAGATTTTTCGATTATGGCGCAGATGCTTTTCATGGTGGCATGGAATTGGTAACAAGTGGATGTCCTCTTAGTATCGTTGGAGTTCTTTTTAAGTGAACAGGGAAACGTATGACTGAAGCGAGGATTATACTATAGCATGATAATTGACACAAGGAACCTGTATTACATAAATTGATTTTTTTTTTTTTTTTTTTTTTTTTTTTTTTTAGAATTTTTCGGTATTTCTAAACTAAGGGCACAGTGATATAGTGCTTTGTTTGTTAGAGGAGTATGTTTTTTATAATCTAATCCACAGAGATCATTATCTGGCATATTGTCTGAACTCTTTATCTTGCAGTCATTGGCAGGTTTGTTTTACATAATATTCAATTTATCCACTTCTAATGTTGTTTCAACTCTGACCCTGAAAAAAAGGATAATTCAGAATTTGTTTCAAGTGATTTGACATTTCAAAAACACAATTTGAATAAGTGTCTGTATACAGTGAAGAAGGTTTTAGATCATAGAGTATATGTCGGTTATTGACTACTAAGGTAAATGTTTGGAAGTGCAATGGTTATCAGATTTTTTTTTACCTGTTTAGCAATATTATGTATTATCAATTACCTATGTAATCACTATAGTCACCTTAATAGCCAACCTGGTTGAAAACAGTATAAACTAGAAATGATGGATGGGCATGATTTCTTAGCAATGCAGATGTAATTATGGGGCTTTTGGTGAAGAAAATGGCATGCAAATTAGTTTTCCCTTTTTGCCGGAGGAATTGCTCTTAGATTCCATCAAACTTGGTGGAAAATCTGTATTCAGGGCAACTAAAAACATGCATGGAAAAGATTTTTTTTATTTATTTTTTTATGGGGCAGATTGACATACTTCACTTGTGTGTGTGTGTGTAGGTGTTTTTTTTCACTCACATTTGAATATTAGGCTATATGCTAAAGCCATTTATATGTGATAGAAATAGGTACTGGAATAAGAGGATTACTTACTGCTGTGAGCATGTTTTCTCAGGTAATCCCGTCTCTGTCGTCCTCCCCTCTCTCTCTCCTCCCTTCCTTTCCTCGTTAC